CAGCTGTTCACCCGTTCGAGGACACTTTATCATCTTGCAACGATTTTAACTGCAGCATAAGATAGATCGACTCACTCAACATTACTAATGAAATCCGTCTGCCAGATCGATGCCTATGAAATTTTATGCAGAAGGATGACGGTCTTAGCGTCTGTAAGGGGAGGGGACAAGACAGTTGTTGTTTTACGTTTTTCTGTCGTCGATTTTAATTTTGAACTGCAATGTTTAGTGTTACCGGACGAAGTTTTGAACGAAGCCGTACCCGGTACCATCCGAACAGCTGAACATTTCGTGTCTTTCTTGCATCGTTTCATACAGTACGTGACACATCGAATGAGTACTCGTAACGTCGTCATCGAAAATCCAGCTGCATTCTTGCGTGACATCTCATTACGGGTCGCCATCGAGCGTAAACCATTGCGCTTCTGTGTCGAGCGGCTTGGCAGCCTGATGCGTACTCTGGAATTAGCCGATACGTCTGACTTTGGCCCGCTGATCAAACTGGTGAATTTCGCAACTCTTGTCAGCACCTACGCCAAAGGTACGCGTTGGTCTATGTAGAGACTTCGTTTTGGCCGGTCAGTGGTCAACACTATTAACTCTGCGTTACATGTTAGGTTTCTTGTTATTGATTGAACCTTACGACAGCAGAATGCCGACATTGCATAATCCGATATTGACCTTCAGTTGTATGGACGCATCAATTGCCATCCGGCCTGTCTTCCAACGCTTTCAGACGGTCGTCATTACATCTGGAGTAAATAATTGCATTATCTGCGGTGATTTACATTTTCAGTTTTAATTTATTTAAATGATTCAGCGACTAAACTAGTCAAGCTGATCCTAAAACCTTTTCATTTTGATAACTTTACCATTCAGAATAGTGTTGAAATAAGTGTGTATGTAAACAAAGCATGCTATTTATTACTTATTAAGAGATTCCATTAATCTGGTAGATCAACACATCTTTTATCTTTAGCTTACCATCCGTACTGGCTGACTGTTGTTTTACAGCACATGACTAGCGACCTAAATGTGTATTTGTAAGAGTTTCTTTATTGACGAATAGTAACCACCGATCTATAAATAGGCGATTCTGCGAACTGCTTGCTCACTGTCAAACTCTGAAGTTGGATATTCGTTAAATTTGCTTTTGACATGAACGCCCTTTTTCTAACTTAAAGTGAGGAATGAAGCAAATAAAGAACCCCAAAGTAACGGCGTAGTTTCGTGCAGATTTCGGCATAGGAGTGTCTCGTATAATGACCAAAGTTTCTGTAACTTGCGTTGTTCCAACAATTCATATTTTAAGGGTGTTTTGACCGCCTACTTGATGAATAGTCTTCGAACGGTTTCATTGTGATGTTTGATCTCTATCCAAGAAAGCTTCTGAATTATAGACTTCAGCATTGTAGTCACATGCTGTAAGTTTTTTTTGACTTGTTCTCTTTGACATCAGAACTTCTCCAACGATTACAAACGGTTGACTGACGCTTTGACATGTGCAAAAAAGAAGAATGGTCGGCACATTAAAATGGCTGCTAAATTAGCATTGCTCCTCCGCCTAGACTGGACAGCGGGTCGATCTACCATATAACCCAGCAGCCACACTTTGTACGACACTTTGCTTTTATTTAGCCTCGTTTAGTTCAGGATGCTTCTTTCATACAAGCGTTTGCTAATGATCTGTCAATCAGTTTGTCGATGGCACTTACCGCTTTTACCTGCATTGAATGTTTGCCATTTATCTGTTTTTTATTTATTGCTGGTTGTTAATAGTCGAAATTTTCGAAGGCTGTAACGCTGAGGGTACATTGAAGCATGAAGTTTCTTGTTTTCGGATGTGATTAAGCATTTCTTTGTCGATCATGGAAGAGGTTATGTAAAAGTGGTCTACTTAGAGAAGATACTTTAATATTGGTTGTGGAAACCATAATGATGTAAATGTGCATGCCATATAATACGTATGCTGGGGACAAAAGCAAGTGTTCTTTGTTTTCAGCCTTACGGCGGAACGTATCAGATTCGGATCGAATGAAGGCACGTAGTCAGTTTATTTTATGTACTGCTAATACTGTGTTGCAAAAGTTGATCTCACTGTGCCCATCTCTTCTCATTTAGCCGAAAAAGTAAGCGTTGAGTCGATGACTTGCAAGAACTGCGACAGTACGATATCTGGATATGATTTGCACAGCTGATGTAATTTGCAGTTACATTACCAAATGCTGGTTTATTTAGCTGCACAGCGTCTCAGCTAGTCTAATGGCTTTCTTGCTACGGGTGTAAAAAGAACATCGCGATGCGATGGCATTCGTTGCCTGCTATGAGGTATTAATTAATGAATAATTTGCAAGAATGGGCGTTTCATCTGCGCCGTCGGACCGAAAATTTAACGCGATATCGATGTTTTCGTAACGCAACAGAACACATTGACGTTAGAAAAAATGGCAGCAACTGCCGTCACCTAAATTTTTTTTCTATGCATTCTGGGTCCAGCTAAATTAACCTGTGTTTGACTAGCCATCAACAAAACTTTTAGTATCTATTTAGATATTGCTAACTGTCTTACTTTACTTGTTTTGTAGAAAACTCTGTCCAGTTATTGGTTTCTGTGTGATTCTCTGTTTGTCACTTTGACGGTTCTGTTAATATGTCTGTTTTAGACTTTATCGCCACTTGACATGTATCCGAAAGTGCTGGATTTTGACCCAACAATAATGGCTAGTTTTAGCATGACTCTCGCTCGTCCCTGCATCCTGCCGTTAATCACTTCTCGAGGTAAATATTCTTTTTATTTTGTTTTGCGTTTCTTACTCGCGTATCTTCTTTCCTTTCGCAGTTGCTTTGTCTT